GTCTCTTGTATATCTGAAATGTTTAATACCACCCATCTTTGAGGGTACTAGTATAATAAGCTTAAAGTTATCTGCTTTTCTAAGGTTGAAAAGTAGCCTGAATCACAGAAATCATAGTACTTATCAGTCTATAAAAGGATAAAAAATTTAAAAAGGAGAGAGCAAGCTACAACATCAGGAAATACTGCCATTCCAATTTCTCAAAACATGACATGTTTTTTATTTAATTAAAATTTTGTATGGATACAGAACCATAGAGAGGAACACCCACATGGCTTAGAATTCAAAATATCTCATGTATGAGATTTCTTAATTTAAGCCTTTTCTGTGCCTGCCAAATAACAGTGGGTGAAGAACGCCTTCAAGGCCATTTTGGCATTTCTAGCACCCTGTGTGTAAGCTTGGTAGGATTCTTTACCCTGCCAGGTTATAGTAGCCTCAACTTTTCTTATAGAAGAAAGCCCACTACGTTAGTTTGAAATTAATTTTAAGAGATGTAGTAGTACTAAACACAAGGAGACAGTTTTTATTTTTATGACCAAGTTATACAAATTAGAGACAAAAAACAAACAAACAAACAAACAATTTGCTTCTTACTATATGTGGGAGGATATGAGAATTTTATTAGCAATAATAATAAAAAATAACATTCTCAGACTTTCTACTATTTTCTAGGCATTATGGTTGGCATTTTATTTTGCATCACCTATTTAATTCGAACAAGATTCTGTGAAGTATTATCTACTTTTTTTTTTTCCAAAAGGAGGAAACTGAGACTTAGAGACACTAAATAATTCACCAGTTACAGTGTTGGTAAATGGCCACATCATATCTGATTCTGAAATTTGGACTTTTATTACTCCATTTTGACCTTTTAGAAGGAARATTAAATGTTCTGAAGTCTGTTGTATTGCCTACAGGTTTTTTAGCAACAGAAGCCACCTTTCTTTTATTGGGGGAGGGGGTACTGGAGATTTAACCCAGGGGCACTTAACCACTAAGCCACAATCCCAGCTCTTTTTTATTTTTTATTTCGAGACAGGGTCTTGCTAAGTTGCTGAGGCTGGCTTTGAACTTGAGATCCTTCTGCCTCAGTCTCCTGAGTCACTGTGAATACAGATGTATACCACCACGCGTGGCTGAAGCCACACTTCTGACCCCCTCCCACACCTTCCCTTTCCCCTTATGTGCCATTAATACAGATCTTCTTGTAATTCCCTTAAAAGTCCTGTTCTCTCAAGTCTCTGGGCTTTTGTGGATGATATCTTCTTGGCTTAAAATGTCTTTATCTCACTAATATTGGACTGATTGACCTACTCCTATTTTTTTTTTTTTTTGGTACTGGGAATTTTAACCCAAGGATTCATAGAGCAACATGACTTACATCCCCAGCACTATTTTTTTTTTTTTTTTTTGAGCCAGGGTCTCACTAAGTTGTTTAGGGCCTCACTAAATTGCTGAGGCTGGTATTGAACTTGGAAACCTCCTAACTCAGCCTCCCAAATTTGTGAGTTGCTAGAATTATAGGTGGGTGCCACCAGGACTTAATTTATTCCATTAAGTAAGGATCTTACAGTATCAACATCTAAACTGTGAGCATTATTGTAGTTCCAGATCCGGTATCTGTTTCTCAGAAGGTACTCAATTCAGTATTTATYAAATGAATGAAAGAATACATAAATGACTTACAAATTTATGCACAGAACTCTTTAGGAATGTGTGGAGAGGCTTTCTTTGTTCCATTTAAGTTCAAAAGTTATCAGAAATGAAAAATTTTCATCCTCTTATAATAAAACTTTCCAACATGTCCTTATAATTCTCTAGAACAAAGTATCTAGGACAGAGTAGTAATGAAATCAAAGTTTTGAGAGAAAATTCACTGCTTCTACTAGCAGATGGGGTCTGCACAAGTTGTAGGCAWCTGCTACAGCTAAGAAGCCTTCCAGATCTTAGTGGTGTACCATCCCCTCCAGTGTTGCAGCAGACCCCAGCAGTTCACTGTCAATTTCTTCTTCTTTTAGGAATCTTGTCACGCGAATTCGAAGAATGAAATCCACAAACCAGGATAAGTAAGTGTAAGAGTGGGATTAATTGAAGGATAGAAAAGGAATAGAACTTAACCATTAAAACATAATAAGAGTGGGTCCAATAACAGATTTTCTTCATCCACATATGCTAGTCTAGGAGTTTATATAGCACTTGAGTCACTGCTAGTGGTCTAAACTTATACACATTAGGGTTTGAAAAAGTACCAACCAACACCATTGGTTCAAACTTGCTAATTGGGGTTTGGAAATGTACTGAGGCTATTGGTCAACTCTTGAGTTCCATCTTCCTTTCAGGACTGCCCCACTCTATTTTCTCACCACAGGTCAGGAAGTTGAGGTCCTCAGATGGTCTATGTTTACAGTGGGCTTCTGCAATGGGTGTCCACACGATGCCCAGGCCTGGATGCTGAAGGGTAACAGGTTGGCACACTTTGGCTTTGCCTTGTTTTGTTGGTGGTTCGCTGTGCCTTAGGCATACCTTGTTGGTGTGGCAGGCTCCACACAGCTGTTGACTGTGCTTGCCGCCTGCACTCCAACCCACTCAAGCTGCCACTTYCTGGTCTCAATTATACACTGCTGCTTCTAGGCAGGGACCAGTARGTCAGGTGCATGATTTGGCAGCTGGGGAACCAAGTCATTCCCTCCTCTGAAGAAGTATCCCTAACTGCTGTTAGGGGAAAGRAGTTATGTCTGCTCTGGCTATTTCAGGCTGAAAAGGGGCATTGAGGGGGGAACAGCAGTCAGGGTCTTTCTACAGAGGCCTATCTAAGTGTACCCAGTAGAAGGGGAGCTTGGTTTTGGATTCCATGTGTAAGGCTATTTGGAACTTGTGAMTCTCGCACATCAGTCGAGGTTCATGGTGGTGGTTGGTAGATGACAGGACTATGAATACATCAGGCAGATATCATGTTAAGACAACAATRTACAAGTAAACAACAGCACAAAAGCAATAAATTATTAGCCAATCCCTGAAAACCATGAAGATGGGTAACTTATTAAAGATTAAGGTGGAGGTCTAACAGTAACTCAATACATATTTGCTGAATTGATGAAGTCTTTTTTTTCCCACATTTTTTATTGGTGCATTATAATTGTACMTGCTCATGAGATTTGTTGTTAAATATTTATTTGTACATATACACAATACACAATATAACAATATAATTTGGCCAATATCACTCCCTGATGAAGAACCTTTTTTTWAAATATATTTTTTTAGTTTTTGATCGACCTTTTATTTTTATTTATTTGTTATGTGGTGCTGAGAATTGAACCCAGTGCGCCAAGCATGCTAGGCAAGCACGCTACCACTGAGCCACAACCCCATCCCCTGATAAAGAATCCGGAGGATATAGCTCAGTAAGAGCATTAGCCTAGCATGCACGGTGGCCCTGGGCTCAGTCCCCAGCATATTAAAAAAAGAAAGAAAAGAAAAAAGAAAGAGCAAAGTACAAAAGTACCTGTCTTAAGCCTCCTATTATCTCCAGACTCATTTTGCGCCACTTCTACTAATCATTAGTAACAGTATGTAATCTTTTCATCAATGCATCAAATATTTATTTAGTCCTGTGCCAGGCATATAGGTGTGCAACTTTTAACAGTCTCATTTCTTTTCTTGCTATCCCTTTTCCTAGAAACTTAGGAAACCATTCAGTAAATACCATATTTATTGTGGTTCTCCTATCTTCTTTCTTCAGTTCGGTTACGTTTCCCAGAATGGTGATCCCTTTAGCATCTACTGCTTGCTTCTATCTTATGTCTGATTACATCAAAGTGAAGTTATACTTGTGTTTGACACCTCCTCCAAGCCCTCACCTTCCCCAATCTCTAACCAACAACACCTGCTATCCTCTCAGAGGGAAAGGATTGAGGTTTTATTCACCTACATCACCAGGGCCCGGCACAAAACCTGGGTTGGGGATAAAATTCTATAAATAGGTAGTTTAATGAACAACATGGTTTAACATCTTGAAGTCTCTCTACAACAAATGAGTTAAGTATTATTATCTTCATGATATAAAAGAGAAATAAAGGCTTGAAAACGCTTTGAAAATTCCCCAAGGTTACACTACGGTGGAGCCTGTAGTCCCCGGAATTCAAAGAATGAAGTAAACATTGATGCTAAATGATAAAGATCTTCCCTATCTTTTCTTGAAGTTTTCATTTAGTTTTTGCTAGGTCTTCTTTAGACCAATGATTCCTTATCTACCTTAAGATTGTGAATGAATTTTTCATATCAGCAATTGGTCATCCCTCTCTGGAAGTAACACAAAAAAACTTTTTTTTAAGTCTCACTCTTCCGGGGTAGAATCCACGAAAGAGCCCTGGGGCACACAGTAGGTCCAGTAAGAAGAACGGTCATTCGAAATTAAAGAACTAAGAAATAGTTTTTCTTCCAGTACGAAACACAACGAACAGTTTAGCAGGAGGAGGGTAGTCTGTCTCACGTTCTCAAATCCTGAAACTCRTGGAATTTGCGGGCTCACACCTAGTGCGGCAGTGGGTGACTGTGTTGCCCACAACTAAGATGGCTGCTGATGAATATCACCTTTGAATGCTTTGTCCTCTTTGCTAGTTAGTATTCTCAGTGATAAATGCACTGAAGAAAACTTAGTAAAAGTTGGTACCTCCTTACTTAGAAGGTAAAATAGGAAGTGGGCATGGTTCATTTATGAAACTTTCAACCACTCAAATTCTTTCCTGCCCTCAACCAAAATGGTGGTCAAGGTTTTCCGGAGGGCTGAAGCCTTCAGCCCTTAACTAAGATGGCACCCAGAATTTGGTTAAAAATTAGTTTGCCCTCTTTTTGCCCTCGACCAACATGGCCTCCGCAGCGTCGTTCACGTGACATTCCCGGTCTACGGCACGGGAGAGGGGGTAGGAGGGCCCTTGAAAAGGGTGCGCGTTCCCGTGGCGGTGCACCGGGTAGGTTTCAGTCAGAGTCACTATGGCGGCCGGCGCTGGCAAGGTAAGCTGAGGCGGCGGCGACCGCAAGGAAGGCAGGACCGGTCGTGGCGTTCTTGCTTCAAATCCCCGCAGCCTGCTTGCGGAGAGATCCACCGAGGTCGTGGTCAGCGACGGGTTCTGGAGGGGGTCTGGCTGAGAGGGGCGAGGGCTGAGACCGGCGGGCACCGGCTCCTGACGGCCGTTTGTTTTGATGTTTTCCCTACCAGGTCGGAAAGTTTCCTGCCTCGTCGGGCACAGCCTGAGCTTGCCCCACTGGCCGCGAGTGGTGGAGGCTGCGGCGGACCCAACCCGGGGCCTCCAGGCCTCTCCCTCAACCTTCGGGCCAGTCTCCCTCCCCCACCTCTTCGTCCTCCGGGGTCTGCGGCTGCGGTCCCTGAGATGCGACCCTCCCGGGGGCGATCCTAAGGGGTTGTGCTGAGCGGCAGCCTAGAGCTCAGGCGTCCAAGAACCAACTTCCCGCCGACCCGGTTGTCCGAGCCTCCCTGGGGTAGCGCCTCGTTCAGTCCGCACCGGCCTGCGAAGCCGGGTCCCCGCCCTGGTCGCGGGGACGTCCGCCAGGTGCCCGGGAGTCCGGATTCGGCTGTGCCAGAGCCCCTGCGGGCCTCCACCCCTCGTGCTGAGGACCGCCGCCTCGGCTCGTGCCTGGCCGGGGACCCTTGCCCACTCCCGGGYGGCCTCCGCGCAGCAGTGGCAATGCAGACTGTCCCGCTGGCCCTCTAGATCCCCTCGCCGTCGCCTTCGCTTCTCCACCCCCGAGGCCCTTGAGCACCAGCGGTGGCTRCCCAGAGGTGCTTTGGCTACACCTTTCTTTGGCCTCGAAGGACCTTCCTGGCCGAACCAAACCGACCCTTCCTTCATGCTGCAGTGCTGCAACGTTTCCGCCACCAAGGGGGAGAAGCGCCCGCGATCTCAAACAAAACACAAGAATTGGTGTGTGACTCATCTGCTTGGATACCTTCAGTCCCCAAACTGTCTTCCAGGAGTTTTCTTGGCCGAAACTGCCCGATGTTTGAGCCTTTTCTTCCCAGGGAAGATGGACTGAAAGATGCTGGTTGGGGACTTTTTGTGATCTGGGCGCTGCTGTGTTTTAAAGGAGGTGATGGGACTTGGGCTTGCTTGTCTCCCCACCCAAGTGAAGAGTTGTTGATGTTCACTGGTTATGCTTAGACAATGTGCAGTGTGTTTTAATTTAAAATTTTGGGGGGGGGATAGGGGTGTTGGCTTGTGAAGAGCATTCCGAATCTAGAGGAACTCCTTGTTGTCCCTGGTAGGAGAGACATCCCCAGTCTGTCCTCGATGCCGTCTGCCTTGGCCATCTTCACTTGCCGCCCGAACTCTCACCCGTTTCAAGAGCGTCATGTCTACCTGGATGAGCCCATCAAAATCGGCCGCTCGGTGGCACGCTGTCGACCAGCACAGAATAATGCCACCTTTGATTGCAAAGTGCTCTCAAGGAACCATGCTCTCGTCTGGTTTGATCACAAGACTGGCAAGGTAATTTCACCACATTGTCTAACAATCTTTTCAGTTTTTCTTTGCTGAGAGCCATAATGTATGCAGGATCCCAGGGTTGCATCCAGAGGACACTATCAAAAAGGCCATGGAACCAACTTTTTGTGTGCCTTATTCTAGTGGAAATCTAATTGAGGTGGTTGAATGAAAACAGAGAAGGTATTGTAATTAAATGACTCAGGAGGGCGATGGCATCTTGATAACGTGGTCATTCCCAGTGAAATCTCAAACCCTAATTCTTTGCAGAAAACTAGATAGTGAAATTTGGCATCTTGCTTTCAATCTTTTAGAAAGGTGAATCTGCACTTCAGTGCTTGATTAAGCAAGCAGCCTTTCCCAAAGCAATTCGGGAAATTTGGCCTGTATTACACTGGGGCTCAAGTGTCCCTGTGGTGAAATGTAGTTAACACAGCTTTTAGTTGAGTTCAGATAAGGGCTTTTCTAGTAAGGATAATCACTTGTGTAAACTTTATGTTTTTCAAAAGTCTGATACATATTTACTTTTGAAGGAATAATTTGCAATAACCAAAGCAACTTAATTAAGTGTGAACAACTGTAAATTTTTGTTTTCAGAGTTTTGTTTATAAGTTGGGTGAAAAATATACCTATTATTTTTGAAAATCACTTTTTGATATTCCTTGCAGCTCTTGTTAAATACATAATGCTTACTTACAGGGTGATATTAAAACATTAGTGTTAGGAAATTAATTTATTTTCTGAAATTATATCCAGTGCTATCAATTACAGCATTACTTAAATATAACAGGATGAGTTCAGTGCATTTCATTTTAAGTGTAAACATTTTGGCATTTTTATGTTGACACTCTAATTAATGTATGTGTGTGCTTTAAATTTAAGAAATCAAAAGAGTAAGATCCTTTCGTTTTTTAATCTTGTATGGAGGGGGTATGTATACCAAAGAGTTCATCTTTGTGCCTAAACCTGAGGTTTTATTTGAACTGAATCAATTTATACTGAATCAATTCCAACTTAAAGTAAGTTATGTAAGGCTAATAGGAATATCTCAGGTTTCATCTCCTGACTTTTTGCCCCCTCTTTGAGTTAAATGATCAAGCTTTTCTTAAAAGAATATAAGTCTTCAAGAGTAGTTTTTTGAAATGAAAGAAACATGAGCCTCATATCTAAGCAAGAAAATACTTCTGTGGCTACTGACTTAAAGAATTATTAAATAAATTACCTTTTAAATAGAGGAGGATGAGATTGCCCAAGTGTGTGTGCTTGTATAATACCTATAACCTACTCTGTGTAGGATAAAATCTGAAAAATTATGTCAATTTTTCTGTATTAACACCAGCTGCTCATTTACCTATGGAACAGATTCCTTTTTTTCCCTGGAAGCTAAAGCTTGGGTGCTTCAAAGACTTCATACATTTTCTGTAATTCTTTAAAATGAGTGTTCTCGGAGCTCATCTTTCCAACTATTGAACTAAGTATCAGTTAACTAGTGTCTTAATTCAACCAGCTTTTACATTTTTGCCTTTTTGTCCTTGGTCCAACTTAATCAGATGATAGGTTTGCTCACAGTGTATGCTATTAAATACACTTTCTTTGATTCAACACTAAAAGGAGACTACAGTTTTTCTTTTTTTAAAATAGTGTTGCATGCACAGTGCTTCCCATGGCTATACCAAAACCCTCATAGTAGGTTAATTTATAGATCAATAGGAGCTGGGGAATAGATTGTTTAGTGGTAGAGCACTAGCCTAGCATGCAGCACCACAAAAACAAACAAGCAAACAAAAACCCAACTAATTTGGGATGACTAAGAATAAATCAGTATTGAGTAGTTATGAATTTAGATGACATGTTGAAATTTAATGGAATTTGTTATTTAGGAAAACTTYTTATCTTTTGGCTGGGAATATAGCTTAGTAGAGTGCTTGCCTAGCATGTGCAAGGCCCTGGGCTTGATCCCCAGTACTCACTCCCCCGCACACATGTAAAAACCCAAACAAACAAAAACCTTATTTTTGAAGGATAGACTTGTTTTATTTCTATCATTTTCACTTGTTTTTTTCTTTTGCCTTATTAGCTAAAATAACAGTCAGGATATGAGGCAATTAACGTGTACATAGAATTATAAACTAACTACCACATAGTCTAGTTAAAATAATAACCTCTCAGATCTTGCCATGTTTTCAACTTGTTTTAGGAATTAAAGCTTGATTTGACTAGACAGGTTTTTATTGAGCATCTATTATGTGCCASATGCTGGGAGTTACTGAAGAAAACCATACCAGTTTGACCAAATATCATCATTTACTGTTTTCTATGTGAACTTTGTAGTTTGGAAATTTATGCTGTGATCAGCTAATAACAAAAATCCTCAGGCCTAATATATATCTCCAGCAAATTATAAAACACAAGAATCCTCTCCTATAAGTATCATTTCAAAGAAGTTTGTTGTTTAAACATTTCTAAGCTTCAATTTTCTTTTCTTTTTTGGTGCTTGGGTGCAAAGCAGAAGCTTACCACTGAGCTGTATCCCCAGCCCCCCTCTCATTGTTTTGAGGATTGAGATAATTATGTAAATCACTTAGTACCTTGTGCCTGGTCCTTATTAAGGGCTCAGTACTCAGAGAAGGAGGAGGGTGTTTGTGGGGGAACAGAGAATCCTCTTGACAGAATAGCACTTTGTAATTTGCTATTGTGCTATGCAATTTTAGGAAGCTAATGAAAAATCATTTTTCTTTAATGTGATACACGTTGAAGTAATTTTAAAAATAGAAACTAATGAAGTTGATAACTTTGTCCAAGTAGACATTTTGCTTGAAGGGTTGGAAATGGGAGTAATATGCCCTTTGGTTGACTTTCAATTTGTGGGTAACTTGGGAGGGCCATTAAAAGATGGAAGAAATAATAAATACTTGAAACTTTTTTGATTATTCAAATAACATTCATTATAGAAAACTGACAAAATGTAGGCAGATGGAAATCTAGCTGACACTTTTTAATGCTAAATCCATGGAATGTTTCATTGTATTTAAACCTGCATGTTGGAGGATGACAGGTTTGCCACAAAGTGTAGTTTTTAATATCTTTCCCAAATCATCTTCTCAGGGATGTAAAAATTGTCCTGGCTCTGTGTATCATCCTTCACTCCATTTTGGAGTTCAGAATCTTCAAATTAGGTAACAAAACGATTATTAGTCCTTCAGTTGACTCAAAAGTGCTTATGAGCAAGCAAATCAACCCATATGGTAGTTGCACAGAAGGAGTTGGTGAATGTGATTTGAATGGTACCTTTTGATTTGAGGCTTTGGGCACTGGTGACAGGCTAGTGGTTGACACAGTAGTCTACCATAGTCTCATTGAAATTTACTTAGTAGTACTGGCTGTCTTGCCATTCTCACTTTGCATATGTTTGAGCACCTGTTCTGTCATGATCTGTTTTAATGAAGGATATGGTATTGAGGTGAGAAGAAATGGCAACTCCTAAGAAGTGATTATTTCTTCTTTGTAGGAGCTTATTATATAGAGAGGGTGATTATTCACCTTGAAAACAGTTGATTGAGATGATAATATATGTGTTTAAATCATAAGAAAGTGATGGGGTGGATAAATAAAAGTAAAGCTTTTTTTTTAGTTGTTTTTGTTTTCAGGGGATGTGGGTAGAATAAAAGAAAAGGAGAAAGGTTTGAATCAGCTTGGCATCTTCCCATTGCTGAGGAAACTTATTTTATTATATTGGAGTGTTCTTTTGGAGAGTTATGGGTAAACATCATCCATTTTATGGGTGTGATGTTGTTTTTATGTTTGTGTCTTTGTAATTAACTATCAGACCCTGGAGGAGATGTGTCTGTTTCCTACTATTTTGTATAAAGTAGATTTTGAGTAAATAAATCTTGAGTAGTGTGGTGTCAGGTTGTGCAGTCAGTGCCTTCATTACCAAGCCAAGAATGTGGCACCTTTGTTTCAGTAAAGGTCAAGGAGAGTTCTGAGCAGAGGCACTGACACTAAAACCACCGTTTAAGAAAGAATGATGTGGGCTGGGGTTGTGGCTCAATGGTAGAGCACTTGCTTATCATGTGTGAGGCCCTGGGTTCTATCCTCAGCACCACATAAAAATAAGTAAATAAAAAAAATAAAAGGTATTTGTCCAACTACAACTGAAAAAGAAATATAAAAAAGAAAGAAAGAAAGAAAGAAAAAATAATGCAAGAACAGTATGTATAGACTGACCTGGAACAGGGAAAAATGAGTAAGTGTTTAACCAACACTTGTGCACTAACTATATGCCAGGCCCTGTACCAGGCCCTGTCCTAAATGCTTCACACATGCCAGGAGCAGTGACAGAAGCCTATAATCCCAGCAACTTGGGAGGCTGAGGCAGGACAATCACAAGTTTGCGACTAGCCTTAGCAACCTTGCAAGACCTATCTCAAAAGAAAAACTTAAAAAGGGACRGGAATATAGTTCAATGGTAGAGCACCTCTGCRTTCAGTTCCCAGGACCAAGACAAGACAAAAGAGATTCAATTAACTGTTTTACCTTTAACTTATTTATTTAATCCTCAACTCTTTGAGATAGGTGCTTACTTTTCCCACACAAATGAGGAAATCGGGGCACAGAAATTAGGTTAGGTTAACTTGCCTAAGTTCATATACCTAGTGAATGGTAGAACTGAGATTTGAGCCCAGATATTTTTACTCTTGACTCTAGAGCCTGAGCTCATAACCAAAGCCATTCCAAGACTTTGTAATATTTTAGCTAGGATGTGATTTTTATAAGGTCAGTTGGAATAAAAAGATTAATTGCCAGAAATGAAATCAGACAAGAGTGTTAAATTGTCCATTAGAACTTCAGCAAAGAGAGAAACTGTAAGAAGATTTTATTAACCTTAGGACTGTGTGTGTGAGTGTGTTACTGCAGATTGAATTTAGGGTTTTGCTCTTACTAGGCAAGGTGGCCATTGAGCTTTAAACCCCAGTCTCTAGACCTTAAAATTTTTAATAAAGGGC